TATGTATACACAATTTAATATTGCTTAGCCATAAAAAGAATGAAATCCTGTTATCTGTAGCCACATGAAGAGAACTGGAGATCATTATATTAAGTGAAATAAGCCAGGAACAGAAAGTCATATGTTGCATGTTTTCACTCATATGTAGGGGCTATTTTTAAAAAAGAAAAAAAGTGGATCTCATGAAAATAGAGGGTAGGCCAGGCACAGTGGCTCAGCCTGTAATCCCAACACTTTGGAAGGCTGAGGCGAGAGGACTGCCTGAGCCCAGGGGTTCAAGACCAGCCTGGACAACTTGGTGAGACCTCGTCTATACAAGAAATCACAAAAATTAGCCAGACATGGTGGTGTGCATCTGTAGTTATAGTTACTTGGAAGGCTGAGGCGGAAGGATTGCCTAAGCCCAGCAGGTAGAGGCTGCAGTGGTCTTGAGCATGCCACTTCACTACAGCCTGGGGAACAGAGTGAGATTCCAACTCAAAAAAACAAAAGAAAATGGAGAGTAAATTGGTGGTCACCAGAAGTCAGGAAGGGTAACAAAGAGGGGAAGACAGAAAAGCTGATTAATAGAATCAAATTATTTAAATAGAAGAAATAAGGCCCAGTATAGTGTCTACAGTTAACAATCTATGGTACATTTCAAAATGGCAAAAAGAGAATGGGTGAATGCTCTTGGCATAAAGAAAAAATAAACATTTAAGGTGATGAATATCCCAATTACTCTGACTTTATCTTTACACGTACGAATGTATCAAAATAGCACATGTTTCCTGAAAATATGTACATCTATTATGTATCAATAAGATTTTTTAAAAGGTAGGTGAGGGAGAAAGAAGGAAGTACATGTGGTTATAAAGGGTAAGAGGAGGGATTCTAGTGATGCGTTGATGGATTTGTATCAAACTTGATGGAGTGTATCCAAGCCAATATCCTGGTTGTGGTATTGTAGTATGGTTTTGCAAAATGCCATTTATTTGGGAAACTGGATAAAGAGTACACGTTTCTCTCTGTATTATTTCTTACAACTCTAAGTGAGTCTACAGTTATCTCAATAAAAATTTCAATTAAAAAAGTCAAGTATCAGGTTGGAGAAAATATTTTCATCGTATTTAATATCCAAAGTATTAATAGCTAAGTTAGATAAACGGTTGCTTAAAATCAATAAGAAAAACTACTTAATAAAATATAAACAAAAGCCATAAACAAATTATGGGAGCAGTATAAGCACCTAAATAAATAGGAAAATATACTCAATGTTTTCAGTTATCATGAGAAAGCCAAATAAAGTACAGAGAAATATTTATCTACCTGGCAAAATTTTTTATAATTGATTATATTAAATTTTTATGAGAATGAGGGCATTTGAAAAAATCAGAACATTATTTGGGTAAATTCAGAGTTAAAACTTTTTGGAGAGTAATTTAGCATATATTTAAATTTAAAATTACTGCCTCTTAATCCAGCAATATTATTTCCGAGAATCAATACTAAAGATATACTGATATATGTATACAACAATGAAAGTATGCAGATTGGCATTGTTTAAAACAGTGAAAAAGTGCAATCAACCTGAATGTCCACCAACAGATGCACATGGTGAGAATCTCTTAACTGAAACGCCTGGGAACAGAACTGCTTCAGACTTTGGAAAATTTTCATTATACTAGTTCAGCATCCCTAATGTGAAAATCCAAAATCTGAAATGTTCCATTGAGTATTTCCTCTGAGCATTATGTCAGCACTTGAAGAGTTTCAGATTCGAGAGAATTTCGGAGTGAGACTCCAACTCAAAAAAAAAAAAAAAAAAAAATTAAATTATTTTCTGAGTCAGCAGGACTACACTAAGACCAAACCTGAAAATTACACAGTTCCAAGATTTGAAACTTGCTTTGGACAGATGTAGAATGCTACCCATTCTACATCTGTACATAAGGAGATATGATAACCATAAGAAAAAGAAATAGTAAAGGATTTGTTATATTATAAACCACACGTCATTAGAGGTCCACATATCAGAAGCCACAAATGAAGGATATTCAGAAAAATGTCTACCTTGGACCAGAACTATTCTGTTAGCACTGAGAATTAATGCATTTTTTTCAGTCACTTAGTAAAGAGGAACCAGACATTAATGTCAGAACCCACTGACCATGCCATTGTCTATAACACTATGTTACATCGTGCACCATTTTTTAATAAATTAAAATTTCATATATGTTCCATGTTTAAAGAGAGCCTGAGAGTCATGGGGAGGAGATGGTAGGTCAAAGCCAACTAAGGGCAAAATCTTTTTAGAGGAGAAAACTACAGTGGCATTGCTACCTCCAAGAAGGTAGTAATGCTATGCCTTCCTGGCACCATTGTGGTACTCATGTCAGAAACCATGAAATGCAGAGAATCCTTGATACAGAAATTATGTCTCCTCTTAAAATTATCCTTCATCAGCCGAGCTCAGTAGCTCAGCCTGTAATCCCGCGCCTTTGGGAGGCTGAGGTGAGTGGATTGCC